TCTCCGTCTTCTGATTGGCTGGGCCAAAAAAAAGTGGTGGGGGGGTAAAATGGGGTGGGGGGGTGGATTAGAACTCTCCAACTTACCCTACTAACTTAGCTTTCCAGATTGTTACATATAACGTATTTCTACACAAAATTAGTCTTGCCTAAAATTTGAGCAGCTTCTCGAATGAGATTATTAAGCTACAGCAACGTTTTACAAAAGTATCCATCAGGTGCATAATTATTAATTTTACCGAAAGTTTAGTAATTATCTCGGATAGTGTCCATTATAACTACCTTAACACTTTTGTCTCAAAAAAGTTAACAGAATTCAAAATAGCAGTAAGCAGTAGTATCAACATTAGCGATGAACAAAATTTTTAAATTCTATTTTACAAATGCCTCTGATATAGATTGACCAAATATTCATAATTTTTTCATACCTGTAAAGAAACAACAATTCAACACTTACCTGATACAAATAAGCGCATGAAAGATCGATAAGACCTTTGGGCTTAGTTCGCTTAGGGTTTTCATACAAGTACAAATGTGTATCCGTACCATCCACTAACAACACGAAATATAAAAGTTTCCATTTCTTTGCGGCTTTATCCGATTTTCTGTGGAGGTAGCCTTGATGTTTAATACCACGCATCTTCTTCAAACCGGCTTGGTCGCGACATTCTCTCAAAGTGGCATAGATTTTCTCCGCTTCCGATTTTGCCTTCTGATTTTCAGGCACCCAATCCAACTGTTTGGAACCGTCAACAACCAACTAGAAACGGAAATGTACTTATAAAATGTTAACGTTAATATAAAAAATGGTTTACGGGATGTTGTAGCGTGTATCCCTCGACGATCTGTTCTTTTCTGTATCTGTTGATGACGGCATCCAAGCATTCAAATATCCTACCACCCATTAGATACCGTACACCCTTCTTTTCTATGCGAAAACGTTGGATTTGGTTGTTGATGTGGAAAAATAAGGAATAATCGCCAGGGGAGTTGTCACTGGGACGTACCAGAAAACTACCGGGACCCGCTAAAACCAAACCATAAAACGATCAAAATAATTGATCATATTATTATATGTTCCTCCGATAAGTGAATTTTATCTTTATCATTTGATTGTTTTTGTTTAGAAAAAACAATTCCTTCTAAACCAAGTCAACAAAAAAAATAACAATCATCTGTCATTAATATCAACATTTAAAAAAAAGTGTATAGCATTTTTAGATACATTAACGCTCATCCTTATTATTATTTTTTTTAATTGGAGCAAAACTAGTGACAGTTTACAGCATTTATTTTGCTAGACACCTGCAACAATACCATGTATACGCAATGTACCCTCTATAACATAACTCCGAACCCTGGGCTCAAATAAAAACTGTCTTATGGGTTACTTACCTTTAACGAGCAAATCCACAGCCTCATTTTTTGTACAGTTCGGGTGAAACCAAGGAAAAACAGTATTGGGATCTATGCTGTCATCCAGATCCTCAACTAACTCCCGGAAAATCATCCCTTGCTCCCCGGTTCGATGAGCAGTAACCCACAACCACCCGTTGCCCATGTCGTTGTGTACAAAAAATATATCGCCCTTCTTGAAAGTCAGTTCGTCTGTGTCGGGCATTTTTGTGTAAGGCAGTATCGCCACCACTCTCTAGAACATTGAACACATTAAAAAAAATGTATATTAATATCTAAAAAAAATCGTAACAGACCGTGATCATTTTTTAACTGCTGTCGTTGACAAATTGAGCTTTAAATGTACATAGTTCCAAAACTTGAACAAATTTGTAGGCCAAGAGGCATGTTACAATGGATATAGCCTTACGTAAGCTATTGTGCCCGTGAGAAAAGTTTGAAATGAAAACATTTTCACATTTCACAATACCAGTAATGTCGTGAATTTAAAAGAATATACGTCTGTCAACTAATTAAATGATAATGAAATTGGTAGAAGCTGAATTTTTTTTAATGAATGCATAAAAATGTATTTTTAAAAAAAAATCATAATGAGAATTAATTTTAATTCAATCATTTTCCAAGAATTGAAATTTAATGTCATATGGAAAATTCAAATTTAATTACAAATATTTATTACATAAATCTGTTATATATGTACATTATTTGAATGTAATCATGTTCTCCAAAAATGTGTATGACTCATTTTTATTTACAGACAATTATGATAATATTTATGAATATGCTAAAACTGATAATATGTTTTATCAAACTATCCTACAAAATAACACTTATAGGAAGTTTATGGGTTCAATAATCTCTATATTATTTGAGCATTACAGTTATTTACTTAATCATTTTTTGCATTTTGAAACAAGGAACATATTGTACTAATACTTATTGGTATTATAATAATTCCTCTCCTTAGTTATTTATGCACACTCAATTATACAGTATCTAATAATATCTATTAAGTATATGAAAAATGTATTTTATTGAATTGAATGTATAAATACAGTAACAGCTTTAGATATTTTAAGTAAATAAAGATAAAGGCTGGGATAAAAGTATAATGCATTCTGTGAGTCATGAGATATATTTCTGTATAATCTTAAAATTCAGGAACACCTGTTGCCTTGGATTTCCCATTATCTCAAAGAGACCCACAAATAACCCAAATTTTAACAAAGGAATTCCTTCATGGCAAGTATTGATTGAACAAGGATTATTTATTTTATAAAGCACCAATGCTAAACAGTCAGGTAAAGAGGAAAAAAATAGAGAAGAGGAAAAATATTGGATAAACAATATGCCAATGATAAATATATATTTAAAAAATATAGTCTATTCTTGTGAAAATGATATGCACAAAAATATGTAGAATATTTGTGGGTGTATTTCAAACTAACAATAAAGAATATTAAAATATATTCAAGAAGTTGCTGATAAAATGATTATTGTTCTGATTCAGGTCATGACATTAGGCATATAAATAATTTATAAGTGCACTTTAAGATGCTCAAGAAAAGTCAATCTGCATATTTTAAACTACACTGTATAATCATGATTTAGAACAAATTTTAAACACTATTATTTCCTTGATAAATTAATAAAAATGTTTATTATTCTATGTAATCTGACAGGAAACCATTTGCAAAATAAACGTAGTGGTGAATAACACAAATAAAATTATATAAGTAATACGCATGCGTTAAAAAGTATATACCACCAGGAAATAATTGTGATAAATAAAAATTTACTTTTTAACTCGTTTTGAGAACTTAATGATTATTAAGAGTTGATAGAAATTTATTTTTGTATAAGAATATTAAAAAAAATGCGCTGCATCAGCATAATGGTAATCAATGATATTAAAATTTTATCTGTATCTTAATATTTTTAATATTTAATGAAATATGAATATGACTATGTATTTTGAAAGTTATACAACGGCTGCCTTAAAGTTTGCATCTTGGATTTCCCCTCATGTGAAACATTATTTGATTAAAAAAAATTAAAAAAATTTTTTCTTAATAATTATGTAAAAAATACATATTTTTTCCAAATTTTAGTCTGTTTATTATTAAGTATTTTAAATATATTGTAAAAATCAGTTTCAGGAACTACAACCCTATATCTCAAAAACCAAGCATTTCATAATTCATATTTATGGAAATGCTTGTTATTTTAAAAATTTCTGTCAGCAAGTAAAGTTTGGTATATGCAAATCCAGACCATTGAATATAATAAAAGATCTAAGAACTGTTCTGGTAATTCCAGGTTTTCCCCTTTTTCCAGATTAATATACACCCTGAGAACCGCTTACCTTTTTATCATTAACAGGTTCCGGGGGTGCCACAGGATGTACCAGTCTTTCTCTCTTCAACAAATCGCTGCATTCCTTATAATAACCGACCAAGTCATTTAAAGACACAAACTGCCTCCCACCAATATAAAAATCTCCGCATACTGCTGTTATTCGGAAGTGGTTCATTCCAGTCCTACCTAAATATGAAAGGACATAGCTTCCAGGTTTCCTGTCACTTTCTCTTACTAAATAGGCACCCAATTTGTTACACTGCCACAATCTCTCTTCGGCTTGGTAGCGATCCAACCTCCCATGATACCACAGCGTTTCGGGGGGCGCATAATGAGCACTGTCGCCCAAATCTAACTCGTCCTGTTCAGGTTTGATGGCCCCGTGAGCATCCTGTTCGTTTCCATCGTCGCTTCCTGTGCTGGGAGATCCTAATTTGTCTTTCATTATACCTGCATTCTGCCCACTTCCTGTGCGGAGTAATTCGGCCATACCTTATCCGTAAGTACACTCTAGCTCATTACAGTCTTACTTTAGTGATCTATGAGTTTTGCTGGCTTCCTCCCGAATTAATTACATTGGTAAATAACCTAAAGCATTGTTTAACAATCGTTTCGAGTTTATTGACGTTTCTAGCAGGCTCATCCACTACTTTTGACACTTCACAACTGATTCACCCGGTAGAAGTCGCTCTTGTTTTGTAAACATGGGTTTCGTTCTATTTTGTAAGCCCATAGTTCAAATCAGGAACAGGATATGTTCTTATCAGTGCAAGTCAGGAGTCAGGATCGTTGTACTAGGCTTAGAACAAATCATAAAACATATAGCGATTTCCATTGGGGAAATCTGGGGCTGCACTCGGGCAGCACTGACACTCCACTGGTTGTATGAGAAATATTAGTGATGGGCATAATCGACCAATTTTCATAATCGAGTTATCGGTAATCGAGTGATCACTCGAGATACGAGATATTGGTCGTTTTCATCCCAGCGGCGCACAAATATGTTTGTATTAGTCATGTATTACTTATATGCGTAGCTAAAAAAAAAAAAGCTCACGCACTTCAAAACCTAACCACTTTTTCGTTTTATTCTAAAAAAGAAGGTTACGCAATCAGTGACTATTTGCAGTATGCACTAACATTTTGGGGTGCAACCGTAGGGTAATAATCACTCGAGTGGTGGGAGTAAACATCTCGAGATAACTCGAGTGATCTCAATAATCGAGTACCACTCGATTTTTCACTCGAAATCTCCCATCACTAAAAAATATGCTCTAATGCAAGGGTCGGCAACTGGCGGACCCCGGTCCAGATCCGGACCGCGGAAGGTAAAATACTGGACCGCCAAAAATTATTTGAAAATATAAATTACTCAAATAAATTATTAGTCCAGGCAAATTAGACCAAAATCACCCTGAATACGGCAATTTTTTTCTGATGAACCGATCGAGTTGCGGTTTTCGGCATTGTCTTCGGAAAAATATCAGGAAAAAAGTCTATATATTACAATTTGGGGCTGAATCGAAACTACATTGCGGGTGCATAAAGTGCATCTTGGAGTGCATCAATTTTTCCAGATTTTCTAAAAATGGTAAAAATTTACTAAAAGTTATAGAAATTTGTGTGCACGGGTTTTTTGACCCTGAAAAATATACCCAACGGCCCTGGGCCCCCCCAGGGGGGCAAGCTGGGGGTCTTCTGTAAAACATCGAATAGCTGAGTAATTGCCTTCTAAATCCCCACCCGGGGGTTTTTGGGGTCCGGGATTTCGATTCTGACACTGAAACATATGTCCGACGCTCCAGGGCCCCCCCAGGGGGCAAGGGGGGCCTTCTATAAAACACCGAGAGCTGAGTAATTGCCTTGTAAATTTGTACTCGGGGGTTTTCGGGGTCGGGGATTCCGAATCTGACACTGGAAAATATCCATTAATATTAGCTTGTCTAACACTGAGAAAAATTGTCGTAGAATTGGGGAAATCCTGGACAATCCGTTCCCAAGAGACACATTTCGTTAAATCAAAGAAATATTCCTTAAAACCAAAGAATATTTCATGGATCATGGATTTTCAAAAGAATCTCTTGGGCCCGTGTGACTGCGGATAATGCATAACAATTAGGCGACAAAATCCGATTATCGACAATGCAGATCTTGTGGGTGCAGGAAGCATGGAATTACATGCACAATTGCATGTACAAATTGTTTTGGAACCAACTGTTCCAATCCTGAAATAGTCGAAAATGTAATATAGATGATAGTGATGGAGACACTGATGATGAAAATTGTGATTGATAGTGAAAGTGTTAGATAAACATATGATAGTAGTTGTCTCACTAATTGCCTTGCAAATAAAAAGAAAATTGGTTCTCAGAATAAAGTGGATTCTTTTCGACTCATTAATTTCCTGTTAGTTTTTCTTACACTTCTTATCTAATCTCTGTAAATTTGCGTGTGTTACAATGTAAAAGTAAGCCTACAAGATCATGCGGATGGAACAGTTTTATTGCCAAAATTTGCCTTTCGATGTTTTCCAGAAAGCCCAGCCCACGGGCGTCGTGCATACTTTTTAGTGTCAGAATCGGAATTCCCGACCTCAAAAACCCCGAGTGGAAATTTAGAAGGTAATTACTCAGCTATTCGATGTTTTACAGAAGCCCCCCCTTGCCCCCACTGGGGGCTCCAGGGGCACCGGGCATACTTATCAGTGTCAGAATTGAAATCCCCGACCCCAAAAACCCCCGAGTGGAAATTTAGAAGGCAATTTACTCAGCTATTCGGTGTTTTACAGAAGACCCCCCTTGCCCCCTGGGGGGCCCCAGGGGCGTTGGACATACGTTTCACTGTCAGAATCCAAATCCCTGACCCCAAAAAACCCCGAGTGGGGATTTAAAAGGCAATTACTCAGCTATTCGATGTTTTACAGAAGGCTCACCCTTGCCCCACAGGAGAGCCCCAGGGCCTTCGGACATATTTTTCAGGTTCAGATTCGGAATCTCCGACCCCGAAAATCTAATTTCTACAACTTTTAGTCAATTTTTACCCATTTTTAGAAAATTCGGAAATATTGATGCACTCCAAGATGCACTTTATGCACCCGCAATGCAATTTCGATCCAGCCCCAAAGTGTAATATATAGACTTTTTTCCTGATATTTTTCCGAAGACAATGTCGAAAACCGCAACTCGATCGGTTCATCAGAAAAAAATTGCTCATTTATTGTCTAACTTGCCTGGTCTATATTTAAAGAATATTTTTTTACGTTTGAGTGCCACCCTTATCATTTTTTATAGTATTTTACAATTGTGACTGATTTGAGTTCTTAATGCAAATGAAAATAAAAAATTAGTAAGAAATATGAATTTTTTTCTGGACGTCGTTAAAAAATTTCAAAAGTATACGGACCCCACCTAAAATTACTTGCCGACCCCTGCTCTAGTGCATATATATAATTTCACTCTAGTGAAATCTCAATGGAATGACAATTTTTGCGTGGGTTTCTGACATTATAGGTTATGTTTATGTTTTGATTTTTATTCAGTCAAAGTAACGAGCGTTCAAATAAATACGTGGTCGAAGTTGGCTCTGACACATGACTATATAACTTTATTTTAGTGATGTAAAATAGCATGCTATTTAGTTTTGGGTGATATATATCAAAATATATATCATTATATATATCAGATGAATTTTGTTAAAAAAAACTATACTCAAATTAGTTTTTTTATATTGCTAATGCCTTGCTGATTAATTTGACACCCAATACATGTCATATATATAAACTGTTACAAAAGTTATCAAGTGATCTTTATTTTTTTTTTCATATTTAGATTGGAATTTTTTATTTTTTTTATCATATTTACATTAAGGCACTTTATAGGAAAAGTAATAATCTATTTGAAATAGGTTGTTGTTTTAATTAATAAATTCATTATTTTGTTGCGTACTTAATATGATACAATGCCTGTTTATAAGCAAGTACGCTGTTTATTAGCAATTTAGTTTTATCAACCCACAAATAAAAAATGGGAAATTTAGTCTATGTATATCACAATAGGTACTTAAAAAAAATTAAAGGTAAAAATTGAAATAAAAATTATCAAAAACTTATGATAAAGAAACTGCTTTAAAGTAGTACTAAAAAATCTGAAATTTTAGGTGTGTACTATAGATGGGGAGACCTAAGAGCGTACGTAATTTCAACTCGCCCCTTCCACCATAGGGGGTGGGGTGAAGGGGTTTTTTTAGACATGCCCTATTTATTTTGCGATTTTCGGATTCTACGCGTAAAACCCCCCGGAAACACGTTCTTGCGGGTACGTTTAAAAGACCACCCCTCACCCCTTCTGCACCTACTAGGGTGGAAAGGGTGAGTTGAAATCACGTTCGCTCTTAGGTCTCCCCACTTATAGTACACCCCTAAAATTTCAGATTTCTATATTTATTTTTGACAGAGATGTACCCAAGAACGATGGTCATCGAAAAAACGACAAAGTCCATACGAGGGTGGTGGTTTGATTTTTGTGCGAACTCAGCAAGAACGCGCTTTCAGGGATAGTTTTACGCGTAGAATCCGAAACTCGCAAAATGAATAGGGTACATCTAAAAAAATGATATATATATCAATTTGTTATATATTTTCACTCACATCACTACTTTATTTTAAAGAATAATCGTGATAACAATAACAAACAATTAAAGGAGCTGCGGAAAGTGTTCCCCTCCTTGTTATAACAATAAATTAAAGCAGCTGCTGAAAGTGTCCCCCTTCTTGTTCCAAGCACTTTTCACACCTGTTCCTCAAAGAATTAAAGACATTTTCTAAGATGCTCAGCAGGGTATTGTTAATTTCACGAATCTTGTCTATAAGTCGAGCCTGCAGATGGTTTAAATCAGGAATAGGCAGTTCAAAATTAGTGTTTTTAAGGTAAGGCCACAAAAAGAAATCACACGGCGTAATATCACATGACCTCGGTGGAAATTCATGTTCAGCATTGAGACTTATTAGTCGATTTTGGAAAACTTCCTCAACATATTCATCGTCTCGCCTGCCGTATGTGCCCTTGCGCCATCTTGTTGAAAGTAAAAGTTTGTAATTTCGTTTTCTTCCAGCTGGTTAACAAAAGGAGCGATAATTTCTTCTCTATACCTTTGCGCAGTAAGAGTACCATTAAAAAAATAGGTCCATAAATCCTCCTTCGATTGAGAGCACACCAAACTCCAATTTTTTGAGCGTGTAGAGGGCCCTCGACAAAAAAGTTATCTGGTTTTTCAGAAGACCACATTCTCATATTCTGTGAGTTTACGTAACCACTTAAATGAAACCAGGCTTCATCAGAAAAAAAGGTGATATTATGAAGTTCACCGTAGTTGTTTAGAAACCATTCACAAAATACAGCGCGTCGCGGAAAATCAACTTCATGAAGTTCTTGCTGACAAGTTAAACGATAGGAGAACAAACGCAAATCTTTTTTTAACACTGTGTGGCAGGTACCGACTGATACTCCCACCATTTGTGATAAAACACGTACAGAAGTTCTTGGCGCATTTTCCATTATTTGTTGGACATTTTCTTTTAATTCTTCAGTCCGCTTCTTAGGTCGGTTTCACGAAAAACATTAACACCACGCTGAACTGCACTTTGAAAAATTGTGTACTCAACAACG